TAGTGGTAGTTCTCTCTCATTTGATTCTTGAGGTCATGAAAGAGACCTCTGGTAGTTTTGTGGAATGGCGAGGAAGATTGTCACTTTGTTTTGTCTTGTTTATCATGTTTTTGTTTTTGTTTTGTCTTTTGTTGTCTTGTCTCTTGATTTAACTTTTTGTACCGCTCTCCTTCCTCCTTCATTTTATTCAGGTGGTAATGTTCTCATTATACTCTCTGCATTAGCCCCCTTGAGTACGATGACATTAACCACTTGAGTACGATGGGATTAACCCTCTTGAATACAATGACCTTAACCTCTTGAGTACGATGGTTGTAAGGTCCTCGAACTCAAGGGGTTAATGCCATCGTACTCAAGGGGTTAATGCCACCGTGCCCAAGGAGTCAATAGTTTCAGGGCCTCAGATCTCAAGCAGAGAATAAAGGCGGTGTTTTTCTTCACAAATATTTCAATAAATGTTCACACGTATCAGTGAATAAATTAATTATTACAGATATAAATGTTCATAGAAGTAATTGGATACATAGTAGAAGTAATTGGATACATAGTAGAAGTAATTGAATACATAATACAGTATTGAAGGAGTAAGTATTTATAATTGCTTATAATTTATACATAGATCCCAGTTAAAAAAATAATAATCTTGTTCCGTAAAATTGAAATAAATGTTTATGGATATTATTAAATGAGTCATATAACTGAAGCAAATATTAATAAGTGTTTGTACCTGTCAGGAAATATTATATATACAGGTATATATATTTTTGTATTATATCATGATCAAGGTGATTAATTTTGATCGTAGTTTTAATATTATTCAGAAAGAGTTATTTTATTTATTATTTTATTTTTGGCTCTATTTATCGTCGGTTTTATATTGTTGTTTTTGTTATATTTTGTTCAATTTGATCATTTATTTTTTTTTTTTAGTTTTATTTATTAATTTCTGTTTTTTCATATCAATTTATGTATTTCTATTAAGAGATATATAGATTCATGATATTTTTTAATTTTTAGGATTTATTTTTTATTTTTTATATATTAAGTTGCTATTTTTTTTCCTTTTTTTCTGTTTCTTATTTTCTCTTATTTTAGTCCTTGTCATATCTTTCTTAAATGTCCAATTCATTCTTTATATTCTCCTATGTTTATTGCTTTATTACCTTCTATTATACTCTTAAGTTTCTGTCGGTGGGAGGATAACAGACACACATACAGACACAGACAAACACACAGACAGAGAATTCTCATCTTTATTATGTACATTCTGGCTTACAAAAATGGCGTATCCACAGTCTGAGGAAAATACTTTACATCCTAACCAAGTTTATTTTATCAAGGAGTCGCTTCAGGAGGCTCCTTAAAGATGGTGTGTGTGTGTGTGTGTGTGTGTGTGTGTGTGTGTGTGTGTGTGTGTGTGTGTGTGTGTGTGTGTGTATTGTGATGTGTATGCATGTATGTATGTATGTATGTATGTATGTGTGTGTGTGTCTTCTAGAGGCGTTAATAGACACACACATTAACCACCTAAACTGACTCTTTAATTAACACACACACACAAAAAATTATGATAATTGTCCTTAGAAATAATAATAAAAAAGTAACAATAAAAAAAGTAATAAAATTATTTCCTTCTTTGGCTGTTGCTTCAAGACTTGGTTAAGCGAGTAACTTTGGTTTTGGTAAATGACATTATTAATTATTATTATTATTATGCATACCATTATAGGCCTACAGTATGATACAAAATGAGATATGTATTTTAGCTTCTTCGTAAAAAGCCTCGGTACAGGGTGGGAAAGAAAAAATAACGTCGATGTTATTGTTTTTGGGTCACACTGTATATATATATATATATATATATATATATATATATATATATATATATATATATATATATATATATATATATATATATATATATATATATATATATATATATAATTGAGTAAAAAAAAGTAGATTTTTCATTAGTTGTCGTGTGGGAAAAATCCATCGTGTTTCACCTGGATTTAAATTCATTAAATCCATCAAAAAGAACAAGAAAAAAACGGATTCAGTTACAGGGTTTAAAAAAGGACAGTGAACTCTCTATTTAACGGACTATATGAAAAGAGAAGTCCGTTATATAGAGAGTTTCACTGTAAGATAAAGTCAGATTTTGATTTATGCTTCTGTACAAAAAACAAAAACAAAACAAGATATAATTCCAAACATCACAACATCGCTGCTTCCCCAAAATACAATAACATCGATTTATTCCTGACCTTTTAAACCTTTGTCCCTCACTGTTGTATTTTCTTTCTGTCTTTCTTCCAGAGATGACAAAGGTGTTTTCTTTTTCTCATTAATTCTATGATTCGACCTTATAACGAGTGACTAACAGGGGCTTATAGGTATAGCGATGATGTCTTGGGTAGGGGGGGGGTGACGTTAACCTTGTCTGTCTGTCTGTCTGAGAGTCACCTGAATATAGTGATATAATTAGATGAGAAGTGTTCACAGTTAACATGTTAAGAGTATTTGTTGACCTCCTTGACACGCACACACACACACACACACACACACACACACACACACACACACACACACACACATCATTGTAACCACTGTAAACCCCTGTAAGTATATAATAACCTCGTTAACCTCAAGAGGGACCATTCTAACCAGTAACTCACACATAGTTCTTTGATTATTGTCTTCGTTACGTCATCGATCAGTTATGTTAGTAGTCAAGATAAATCAAAAGAATATCTAAAAAAAATGGCGTCAAATTTACACTGAGACTCTACATTAACTGAATGCTTATAATTATTGGGTGAGCATTAGGGAAATTTGTCTGGATAATTCCCTGCCTGTACTCTGTTTCCCTGACTGGTTCTGCGTAAATGTATCTAGTTAGGGTACAGTCTCAGGGTAAGTTTGATGACATTTTTTTTTTACGTTAATTGTGTTTTATCGTAAGTCAACCAGTTAGGTGTTTTACTTAATATAAACTCATGGGTCTCTCGTCCTCATCATCGCCTGAGACATTACTAACACACTGACGGGTTCCTGGTGTGTGTGTGTGTGTGTGTGTCTCCTGTGTTCAGTTTTCTGTTCTGCTAAATTGTTCACACCAGTTTTTTTACTCGACTCTCTAGAGAACACGAATGAAATGTAGAAATTATTCAGATCCATTATTCAGTGGAATTATTCATTTTCCAATTATATTCAGAGAGAAACTGGACAGTATACTTCCCAAGGTAGAATGTGACCAGAGACAAGATCTGTGATTGGTTGACATGAGCTTGTAGTTATTTACGAGACCCGTGATTGGTTGAGTGAGCTACGATGGAAAAAAAAAAGAGACGAGATCCCTGATTGGTTGAGTGAGACGTGTTGGTAAAGAAGAACAACAAGAGACGACTCACGATTGGTTGAAAGAGATTGTGTTGGTAAGGAAGGACGGGGCCAGTGATTGGTCGAGTGAGTTTGTGTTATATATCACATGACGAGACCAGTGATAACGAAGACGTATTGCTCTCTCATTGGCCAAGTCCTCAGGTCCTCCCTACTCCCTCCACAACGAGGACCTGTCAATATCTCTCTCGCTGTCTGTCTTTCTCTGTCTCTACCCTTCTTCCTGTATCTCTATCTATCTCTCTTTCTGTATCTCTCTCTGTCTCAGGTCTCCGGGTGGTGGTGGTGTCGCAAGGGATGGGATTGGATGGCTCACGTTACGAGTGGGTTGCAGTGGATGGCCGTTCCTCCCTGTGAGTGGCTGGAGGGATGGTGGTGGAACTGTACGCCGGAGATTGAATGGACTGAATGAAGCTTCGTCCTGCCGTCTGATTTAGTGGCAGAGCTTTGATTTAACTTATTCTCACCCCCCCCCCTTCCCCCTCACCCTTTCCCCCTCACCCTTCCCCCTGCCCCTTCCCCCTCCCCGTAGTGTCAAAGGCTCGTACGTTAACTTTACCAGATATGGAGATGTGAGAACGTAACTAACTGCCCCACTCAAGCTGTGACTCAAAGGTGGATTCTGAAACTGGTTCACTTAAGGTATGATTCAGGGGTCGATTCTCTTCCCCACGTGTAGGTGAGTCGCAACACCTAACTGGTTTATTCAATGGCCGATTGTTAAAGGTCTGTTTATGTGTTTACCCTCTTAATTAACAGGTTTACGATGGATGATGTATTTATTTATTTATTTCTCTCTATTTATGTATTTGTTTGTTTGTTTTCGTCCATATATTTAAAATGAGGGTAATTTCAAGTCTTTATTTAGCATTTTAGTCAATAAATCGCAGGTGAACAGCTTGTGAACGTCACCCACACACTCTGTTATTAAAAGTCACCTGATTAAATGCTGCATCATGATACCATATACCTGCGCCCCTTAATGAGCGTAATACTATTGTTTTTAGTTATGCCCCTTACTGAGCATAATACTCTGTTGTTTATAATTATGCCCCGTACTGAGCGTAATACTGTTGTTTTTAGTTAGGCCCCTCACTGAGAATAATACTATTGTTTATAGCTATGCCCCGTACTGAGCATAATAATCCTTTGTTTATAATTGGGCCCCATATTGAGCATTAACAGTAAATGACGGGCCACCTACTGAGCATAAATCATGACTAGGTTACATATATATATAAGTCCAAGGGTCAGTGGAGAACTGTAGTGTCCTAGACGATGTTATACCATGAGGAGGTGTAGTGTTACGTCCGTCATGGGTCGTCCTCCAGCGAGTTGATCTTTTATAGAACAAATATACATAAAACTTGACACATCTTGATGACTCGTTATTGTGTGATACATTATTAGTCTGTTTTTGTTTCCTCTCCAGAATATACAAGTCAGATATGTAAATTTATATCAATATTCCTTTATTTTACATATATAGATACATGACAGGTCTGGTTTATACATGTGAGTCAGATATATGTGTAGATAGATGACTCCTTTTGTCTTACTCACCTACACCTGCATCTACACCTGGCTTTTTTAACCCATTTTTTTTAGATTTTTTTTTTTTTACTACGTTTCCTCTGTCTTAAGTTGAGGAAGAGTTCTTGTTTGTTATGGTCAGCTCTGGTTACCGATTGGTGGGTTAATTTCTGAAGTGTGTGATGGGTTAGCATCCATTGGTCGATGTTGAGTGATGACGTCACTGATAGGTTGGGTGGGTGACGTCACTGGCTTGTATAAGGTCGTGACGTCGCTGGTCCTCTTAGGCGATGACGGCACTGGTTGTTTTTTGATTGGTGGTGTCACGGGTTCTTCTTGAAGGGTGACGTCACTGGTGGTTTTATGGTCGGTGACGTCACTAGGTTTATGTGTCCTGATGACGTCACTGGTCCTCTTGGGATGGTGACGTCATTGATGGTTTTGCACCCTAATGAGAATGTATTACGAAATATCTAAAAGGTAATCCTATATTTACAACTGGCCAACGAGGCATTTAGACTAGTAGACACCTCCCCTCCACACCTGTATCTGACAACAACTAGCACACCTTCCCTTCACTGACAGCAACTAGCAGACACCTTCCCTTCACTGAGAAAATACTAGCAGACACCTTTCCTTCACTGACAACAAACACACCACAACCTTCACTGACACCCCCACTACTAGCAGACACATTTTCACCCAACACCTTGAATGACAACCTACTAGCAGACACACACCTTCTCTTGAATGACAACCTACTACAGACACACCTCTGAATGACAACCTACTAGCAGACACCTTTCCTTCACTGACAACCTACTAGCAGACACTTCTTTCCTTCACTGACAACCTACTAGCAGACACACCTTCTCTTCACTGACAACCTACTAGCAGACACACCTTCTCTTCACTGACAACCTACTAGCAGACACACCTTCTCTTCACTGACAACCTACTAGCAGACACACCTTCTCTTCACTGACAACCTACTAGCAGACACACCTTCTCTTCACTGACAACCTACTAGCAGACACACCTTCTCTTCACTGACAACCTACTAGCAGACACACCTTCTCTTCACTGACAACCTACTAGCAGACACACCTTCTCTTCACTGACAGCCTACTAGCAGACACACCTTCTCTTCACTGACAGCCTACTAGCAGATACACCTTCTCTTCACTGACAACCTACTAGCAGACACACCTTCTCTCCACACCTGTACCTGACAACAACACTACACGGAAGGTGCTCTTGTTGTCTCCTCTCAACTGACTACAAGAACAACAGCTCAGGCCTTAGGGGGAGGGGAGGGGGTAGTTCCTATGCGTAAGATGCGTAAGTAGTGCGTGATGATGTGTGTGTTCTGTTCAATTCACATGGTAAATTTTAATCACCGTTACGCATCAGTCTTCCGTAAACACATCTCTTTTTAGTTATATTTTTACGCATTTTTTTTCTCTCGTTTGTCTTTAGGCGTAATATGTAACGAAAAGCTTCACTAATTCGTTTATTCGTACTTTTCTGGTTCGTCACTCCTGCATCTTCGCCAGACACTCAGTCACTCCTCAGCGTTAGAATGATCTTGGTGAGGTGAACGCACGGAGGCCACCACAACACACGTCGATGCACATATCTCATTTCTACGTCACTGATATGGCGAGTCACTTCAGCATCTCTAGATTGGTGCGTCACTCATTTACAATACGCATGGCACTCTTATTTTTTTTCCAGGGTGCGTGTCACTTCGGTATTTTCAGTAGGCATGTTACTTCTGCACCACTGAAACTCACTTCACTAATAAAGACGTCACTTCAACACGTCAAGAGAACATGCACATAACCCACCTCTTCAGTTTCTCCAGGGAGGCGACACACTCACACACACACACACTACAAACACACGTCGACGCATCACATATAGTTAAGGTTCGACCAGTAGTCCGTGTAATCCTTGTAGGTGACGAGTCTGGCCAGCACGGGGCAGTAGGCAGCTAGGGCCGTGGCTACCAAGGCCAGCATGTAGGCGTATCCGAGCTCACAGCTGCCCGAGGCGTAGACGGAGGCAGAGTCCCCACACTGTAGCCTGGCGAAGGGCGACCCGAGTCCTAGAGGGTAGAGCACCAGACCCACCGCCTGCAGGGACACTGTAGGAGAGAAGAGTGTGTTAGTGCGGTGGTGAGGGGTAGTGGTGGTGATGATGGTGAGTGGGAGTGGTGAGAGGTAGTGGTGGTGGTGGTCATAATGATGGTGAGTGGTGGTGGTGACAGCGTGCCCAGGAGAGAGAGAGAGAGAGAGAGAGAGAGAGAGAGAGAGAGAGACTTCCTGCTAACAGTCCATAAACAGAAGATTTTATTCCTGTTTAAGTCAATAAATATTACCACCAAAGAAGTATTAACCGTAAAGACAGACATGTTACCTTCACGAGAAATATTCCTCTGAGAAAGATATCATCATGAAAATATTACCCCTGAAGAGATATCACCTTGCGAGAAATATTACCTTAGATTTTAATACTAACTTCTCAATAAATATTACCCTCAAGGTAGATATTACCATTAAGATAAACAAGAAAATTAATATGATATTCAACCCAATAATAATAATACCGCCTCTTTGTGCATTATTCACTACAACTGGAAGGTGTCACAAATCTTACACTTAAAGAGTGACTCGTTATTCATCATGCTGAATAAGAGACCACGCAAGGTTGATTACAGCCCCGCCAGGTGTCACGTCAATGTTAATTACAGGTTGGCACAGGTGAGCCCCGCTCTTAACTCAGGGTTACGACACACCGCTATGTTATTGTGGGATAAAGTTCTTCAGCGTGATGGTTGGGAGTTATGGTGGTGACGTATGGTGGTGACGTGTGTGTGTGTGTGTGTAGATTCACGGAGAACGACTGTTTTTAGACGTTAACGACACTGTAAGCACACACACACACACACACACACACACACACACACACACACACACACACACACACACTTTCCCATACCTGGTCAGCGTTAATGCACGGTACACCTTCGTCTTAATGACCTCTATTGACAGGTAATGGTGCGGCAAAGTGGGGATAGTGAGGAGAGATGAATGAGGCAAGTGAAGAGGGAGGTCTGTGTTACTTGACGGTCTGAATGGGGGCGTGGGGGAGGGAGGAGGAGGAGGGGGCGGTCCTGAAGGAAAAAGGAGGGGGGATCCTGGAGAAGAAGAAAGTGAAGAAGAAAGGAAGTCTTGAAAGGAGGGAGCAGGCATTTTACCTTGATAAGAGGAAGAGAGAGAGGTGTGGGAAGGAAAAAGAGAAAAGAGAAAAGGGAGAACTGAAGGGAAAGGAGGAGTAAGAGATAAAACCGTGAAGGAAGGAAGGGAGGAAGGAGGGAGGTAAAAAGATATCACTAAGAAAAGAAGGAGGAGGCGAGGATGGAGGGAGTATGGCAGCATGGTTTCACACAGAGTGAAGGGAAGGGAGAGAGGTAGCCCTGAACACCTTGTTAAAAAGTCCCTCAGGGTGGATGCTAATGGTATCTTATAATGCAAACGATTAAGTGGTGATGGAGAGAGAGGGTGTGTGTGTGTGTGTGTGTGTGTGTGTGTGTGTGTGTGTGTGTGTTGGTGAATTTCCTCCTACCACATCACTCCCCTTCGTTCGTCCCCTTTCCATGCATCTCCCCTTTCCTTTCCACCCTCTCGCTCTCATTCCTTCCCTTTCCTTCATTCCCTTCCTCCCTCTTCCCCTTCCTTCCTCTTCCACCCATCAATTCTTTCTATATTCCTCAACCTTCCTCCCCCACCTCCCCCTCCTCTCTCCTTACCCCCCCCACCAGCAGTAGAACTCGGAATGAGTATACCAGTCTTTATTTCACTAAGTTCAGTAAAGTTGTAATGGCGCGGCGGCCGTCTTAGACAGGGAGGAGGCAGCAGACAGTCAAGTTGGCGAGTTTATTCGGTGTGTTAAGCTGGTAAAAGTTAGAATGGACGGGGTGATGCGGCGATGGTTCAGCTTAGCCCGGGGAGAGGTGTGGGGGTGGGAGGTTAAGGGGAGAGGTGTGGGGGTGGGGGGTTAAGGGGAGAGGTGTGGAGGTGGGGGGTTAAGGGGAGAGGTGTGGGGGTGGGTAGAGTGTTGGGGGGTGAGGAGTGTTGGGTGAAGGTGAGAGGGAAGGGTGAGGGGAGTGGGGTGAGAGGGAAGGGTGAGGGGAGTAGAGTGAGGGGTGCTATCTGTGCAGGTGTGAGTCAGGTGGTGGCGTGTAGTGGTGAAGACGTTACCTTGTTAAGTATACACTGGGTGACGCGGTAAAAATGGATAGTTACAATGTAGTTATGATTTATATATTTCCTCGAGATTTTTAATTAATATGTATATAAAGACGACCAGGTGGATAATCATAAGACAAACTAAAATTAATTATATTATCAACCTAACGTAACGTAACCTAACCTAACCTAACCTAACCTAACCTAGAACTTACTTGGTGATGATAATATTAAACACTATGAACACATCTCCATTAAAGTGTAGCAATAAAAAAAACTCGGTTATCCCTGTTAAGCAAAAATGTCAGTTGTGTTTTCTGGCTTAACCGAGGATTGTCCCTGCTTAGTGACACACACACACACACACACACACACACACACACACACACACACACACACTATTGACCCAGTATCATTAGAATCATTAACCCGTCATTAAAACAACCATTTAATGCTCTAATAATATTAATAACAACTCCTAATCTGATTCTCTCATTAATAGACGCACCTAATTAACATTACCGTAAACTACTACAAACTACCATAATTACGGGGCCTAATTAGCTTACTACGGCACGCTGAACAAACTGTTAAAGTGATCAGACAAACTCCGTCTCCCATCACGTGACTAACTCCTCCACCAAACTTGGCCGGGCGTCTGTGATTGGTCGCTTCGGGTGCCGTTGACTGCCAATCAGAGTCTTAGTTGTTGTTGTGGTACTTGAGAGGAAGAGCCTTACTTAGAGTCACTTGAGTCCTCGAGTGTGTAGTCTACGGGAACCTTTAAGTTTGTTTGTAAGTATAAGTTTGGAGTGCGACGTGGCTCGTTAAGTGAGTAAAAATATAAGAAAGTAAATAACTAAGTAAAATAAGTAAATGAATGAATAGGTAAATAAGTGAAAAATTAAGACAAAGAAAGTAGTGAGGATGGTAATATGGTTAAAAAAAAAAAAAAAACACACACACACACACACACACACACACACACACACACTCACACACACACACACAGCAACATCGTATTCAGAACCTCCCCCAAAAAAAAAATAATAAAATTAGCTTCGACATACAGCTAATTTTTTTATTTGTTTTTTTACATTTTTCATACCAAGTTGAAATGCATTTAAGCAATTAGTGATGTGATTAGGTGGTAAAAAGCTGTAATGACCGTTTCGATAATTACGTTATTTAACTGGACTTGACTGCATTTTTTCTCTCATTTTCTTATGTCTTCGGTGTGTGTGTGTGTGTGTGTGTGTAATGTGTGTATGTGTGTGTGTGTGTGTGTGTGTGTGTGTGTGTGTGTGTGTGTGTGTGTGTTTTATTTCTCATTTCGTTTCTTTTCCTGTGGTTTCGATTCTCCTCTCTCCCCCTCCCCCTCACTCCTACATACATACATACATACATACATACATACATACATACATACATACATACATACATACACACACAATAAGCGCCCCTTTTTAGCTTCCCACACACATACAAAGAGTCATCACTCTCCTCCTCCCTTCTGCGTGATCATTGTCAGGAGTAACATCGGCCGCAGGAAACACGAGTTGGGTCGATAAAGAGGCTGTGTTTCCTGATAAATCTCTCTCTCTCTCTCTCTCTCTCTCTCTCTCTCTCTCTCTCTCTCTCTCTCTCTCTCTCAGTAGTAACAACAGTGGTCACAGGAAACACCATGAGAGAGAGAGAGAGAGAGAGAGAGAGAGAGAGAGAGATGGTAGTTAGTCTACCGGAAACACTGTAGCTAGACAGATGGGCGTGAGGCAAACATCTTCACTACACGAGGGGAGAGAAATGGCCTATATCCACGTGTCCGAATCTTCTTCCCGTAGCCGCTGGGGTTGGATATGGATTCTACGTGTCTTTAATGTTTGTTTTGGTTGATATAGTGAGCTGAGGAATGTTTAGGACAAGGAAGGTCTCCTATATCCACTTGTCCGAAAATCCCGTATAGCCGTTGGGGTGGACATGGGTTCTGCGTGTCTTGATAATTTTTCCATCGAGGTCAAGAAACCTGATATATGGAGAGGGGAAGGCCGAGATAACCATATCCACGTGTCCTATTCTCCCATAGCCATCAGAAAGACAGGCCATTTGCATATCCTATTTTTTTAAGTTCTTTCGTAATCAACTTTCCAATATTTCCTAATAATGACAGACATTTCCCCATGTCCAAATTACTAAAAGATTAACGTTTTGGACATACTTCATAAACCACATTAGAAAAAGGTCGACTGTGATGCATGTCCGAGTATACTGTTTCGGTGTTGGTATGTCCAAATGCGTCAACTTCCTGTGAGTACATATGCGGTATGTCTGTATGTCCTACTCTCACATGGTAGTAACTGTAGCCATTTCCCGCTATGCTACAATGGGCATGCCGGCTATGTCCGTATGTCTTAGCTGCCCTCATGGTTCACAGTGGAACATTCACGTGTCCTAGGAGGTTGGATGGATGACTGACAGAGTGGATGGCTTTCCGTCTGTTTGTTTTATCTGTTCATGTATATTTTTTATCATCTGTAGTTCTGTCAGTATTTGTGTATGTCAGGCTTACTGTCTTTCTGCCTCTGTGTCTGTCTGTGTGTATGTCTGTCCGCCTGCCTGTCTATGTGTCTGTTTGTCTAGCTTTAATTGGCTTGTCTCTTTATCTGACCATCTGTCTGTATGCCTGTCTGTCTGTCTGTCAGTCTGTCCAGCTATCTATCTGTGTATGTTTATTTGATGCACACGCACACACACACACACACACACACACACAGTAGAAGCAATTGTCTGACAGATGGCTCTAAGCTCTCTGTGTGTGTGTGATACGAGTGTTTGTTTATCCACCTCTCTGATTGGTTGTTTACTTAGGGATATAAACAAGGCGTGTCGTGTTTGGCCC